AAAAAAAAAAAAAAAAGGAGAAAAACAGTTTTTACACCTCACTTTATAAAAAAAAAGAGAGAAGAAAGAAGCTATATTGGCTTAAATGTTTGTCGGTATCAGAATACGGTGTACAATTACAGTTCAGCAATTTATGGAGAGAAAAAAGTCACAGTAAATGTGTTCCGTTTTTTCTTTTTTTTTTTTTCATCTTTTTGTTCTTGTTTTTTTCTCCTCTGAATGACAAACAGCTTTTTCAAGAGTGTTACAGTCAAACAACTGCACAGAATGACAAATCAATTATACCTAAAGTAAAGTGGATATTGAACAGTCCCAGTTTTTCTCCTCCGCTTCTCCCCCTCCTCCCTACCTTTTTTCCTTTACCCTTCCCTATTTCTCCGTTCCTATTTATTGCTGCTTTCTTTTTTATCTGAACTGTACTACGGCTGCCACATTCCATACTGTTAAAAAATTTGCTGAGACGATGGCACATCAGGCCTGCGCTTCCAATTTTATAACGGATCACTTTCCAATGTCCCCCTTCTCTCCCCGTTCTACAGTAATGCAAACCAACTTCTGTAGAGTGTGTTATTTTCAGACAAAAACAATACGACAAATATTCACTTCTAAACTCTAAATTTTACTCGGCGTACTAAAAAGAAAAAAGTAAAGAAACGTTCCATTTTACCAGTTAAAGAACCGTATAACAAAATTCAAAAAACAACTGTTACGGTACAGGACGGGATGAACAGGATTGCAGATTATACAATATGCTTAATCAAACAAATATTGTTTGCTAATACTGCATCCAAAAAAACTCATTTCTGCACATACTTAAATTACTCTGTCCTCTACACCGCTAGATACACTTAACCTCAATATCACTTAATTAAAACGTGGCATCAATGTCGTGCATCAAAAACCAGTCCTATATAACCGCTGACTTCTTAAGCAGTTGTTTTCGTCATGATCACTGTACCCGATACAGCAATGCAAAAAAGTTTGACAGGCAATCCAACAACCGTGTTTGATGCTTGAAACCAGTTAAGGCAGCAAAAATAAAATAAAACAAAACAAAAAAAAACCTCAACTTGCAATTAAAACTACAACTGCGTCTAAACGATTTCCCAGTTATAAAATACGTTTGTTACCCTGTGTTATCTCTGCAATTCTCGTAATTTGCTTGTCTTGTTCATATATGCCATGTGCTCAACAAAACTCCATTTCATAACTTTTTTATATAACTTCTAATAAATAATCTCCTTCCTGTACAAAAAATTCTCAAAATAACAAATTAATCTGCAGCATATGTTTTACCTTTCAAGCTTAAGAAAAATTTCTAAACCAAATAATGAACAACAGAAATAAAATCTTTATAAGGCATCAAAAAAACGCTTTTATCCCGTTTTTCCTCATAGTAAATGAGATTTACATCAAAAAAATGTGTATTTCTGTCCGCTTTCTCAATCTCACTCTTCAGTAAAGATACAATTTCAACCAGTTTTCTAACCGTGTATTTAGATTTTCATCAGAGCATAAGATTTGCTAATAAAAAACAGTGCTTTACAAGGATTCTGAAACTAAAACAAATTCTGTAACATTCGGTCAGAAACCAAAGACGAAGAAGTGTCACACTATAGTTTTAGTTTTAATGTTGGTTCCATGCTGTTGCCCTTGAATCCTTTTCTTTTCCTCTTTAAATGCCAATTTGTTACACTTCTTTTCTATCCGCCTTTCTCTTCGCTGTTCCTTAACCAACGCTTTCCGAGCTCGTTTTTCTTCCCTTCCCTCATCCTTGGGACGCGGCAAGGAAAATCCAGTCTTGCTTCTAACTTCTTCCATCTCGTAGTCTTGCTAGAAAGTTCTTTTGTAAAATAACTCTGCATCACTTCATAATTTAATAAATCTGTCCCTGCACAAAAGCTTTAACAGCATTGTAGCAAGAGAACAATATTCATCTAAAAGAAAAAGTCTATAATCGAATCAAATCATTGAAAAAAAGCATATTTAAAAAAAAATAATCTTGAAAATAAAGAATAAAAAACAGCATAGAAAAATAGGTCAACGTGGTAAAAAGCTTTAAATTGCTAAACGACAAAAAAATGTATCACTACTCGATACCTCAGCTTTCCTCAGAAATTCCTTTAACTTCTGTTTCCGCCTCGGTTCTTGGATTAAGAAGGGTTTGTTATAAATATCAGAATATGTTGATAAAATTGATTCACAATCCCATTTCGCTTTTTTAGGTCCTGAGCATTCCACAGTTACAAGATCCAGTTGTTCCTCACTGTCGTCATCGCACTCCTCAGCAAACCTCTTCGCCACTTGGTCGTTATGCTAAAAACCTTTGTTAAGACCATGCAATAAGTGACATCAATATAAGTATGACAGAAGTTATCGCAAGACCAGTCGATGAACCACCTCCTGATCTGTTTTGACTATCAAAGTCAAAATCTAAAGCCAGATGTTTCAAAGGAGAAAATCAAAAAGACTATCACAAACAATGAGCAGAATGAAGTCAAAAATCAAAACCTTCTCGTTAAAACTTTGATAAGTTACGAATACTGCATCAAAGCGTTATTAAAACTTACAAGTACAAGCTCTTCTTTCTTCTTATTATGTTCCTCAACGAGTCTTTTTACACGGTTTGAATTTGCATCAATTAAATTGTCAGCTTCTTCCTACAACAAACTATTATATAAAAAACATTGTGGCACTCCTACGAACATTATTATAATGGCACTGCTTTAAAAAAATTGGCTTGAATAGAACAGCTTAGCCGTATAAAATTCCTCTGATAGATATAAAAGATCATTTCCAGAAAATCAGCAATTTGACCTCATCCTCTACACCGCTTATATCGTCGTTGTCATATTCATCGCAGAGATGTTCAAACTGATCATCAATCAAGCGCTTACCAACTCTCTCCCTGCCTCCTGATAATGCTCCTTCCGTAAGTTCATCTGAAAAAAATTTAGAAATAAAAAAACAGTTCACACAATTCATACTATTGTCCCGTAAAAGAGGAATCAAGGTAAACTGTACCATCATTTCCTTCAGACATTTCTACTTCATTATTATCCACACTTTTCGCTTCATCGGTACCAGTTGACTCCTCCTCGTCCCGCTCGTCAAAGCTGTTATTGCGTGAACGATGATCCAGAAAGAAATTCTGACTAGCTTTTAAAGGTAAAACGCCATCATTAGCAGAAAGAACAAAATCATCTTCCAATTCGTTGTTGGGATTATCAAAATCAAACTCTCCTCTTAAGGCTGCCTCAATTTCTGGATCAAACTCTCCATCGTCATCTGTAATATATGACAAAAAGAATGCAATTCAAAAAATTTTTACAGTAATTTTAAAAGTTAATAATACATAATTTTACACCCATTCAAATTAAACTGAGGAGTTTCAACCAAAATAATGTGCTATATCTAGTTCTATATTCAAAAATGCGCTACCTAAAAAAGAAACAAAATATTATTGTACACTTCTCAGATACGGTATCTTACATAAACGACTTTTAAATTCTTGAATTAAATTTAATTAATTTCTTGATCAACCCATACCACACTCATCATAACGTATAACTTCCTCCTCGGATATACTAGGCATAGGTTCTTCGGTGTTCGAACCAATATTTGAAACTGCAGCTCTCTCCACTTTTTCTAGTACACCAACCTAGAAAAAAATTCACTACGACAAAACGATAATCCTAAATATAGCTCTAAACTAGCAAAGACTATTACTACCAAATGCCAACCTCATTCAGGTCACGAAGATGTTGCATATAGTCATAATCATCATCAAAATAGATACCACATTTTATATGTTCCTCGTAATTCTAAATATAATCAAAAATCAAAAAATAGGCTCCGTTAAGTTACTTTTAATCAAGAAATACCACTTTTAACGCTATAAAATTTAAAAATTAAATAATTGAACTTGGGATAATATTTCCATACCTACTACAGAAGAACCAAAAAAAAAAAAAAAAAAAGTTGAAGATTACCTTTTTTTTGTTAGGCAGATGTTTCTGATTCGCCTCAAGTAAATCATCTTCAAAATTTTGTTCTTTTTGGACAATTCGGTATGTACTCGCTGCTTTTTTGTCAATCCAACATTTCTTCTTTTTAGGCTAAAGAAGGTCTCTTTACTTAAATAAATGATGGCCTTCAAGATATCTACACAGTTAAAACATGAAAAATATCTGTATAAAAACACTGCAAACATTGATAATGCCAGTTCTCCTCGGAATTTATCAATGAAGTACGCACAATAAATCAAAAGTTGAAATTGTAGCTAAGAACAACAGAGATGGTAGAAAAAATACAAAATCAGTTGAAAAACTTGCTTACCATGACTATATAACCTTCGCCTTCAGACCAGACAGTAGCGTATGACTAGGATCTTTACCGGTGTAGAAAAATTAATTACCAAATTAGAGAAGCTCAGTCTAAAACGGAACTTCTAAAAGTGGTTTCATAACAAAACTTAAAGAATAACGTGGCCAAAATAGCTTACATTAAATTCTTCAAAACATATTATGGTCAAAGACTACCCACATGCCGACTTAACTAGTCAATAACAATTTCGACTACTAAAGTCGGGAAAGAAAAGTAGAAATAATAGGCTGCAACGCGCACAAATACCAAGACTTTTTTTTTTCTAAATTTATTCAAAATCCAGGTTAAAAAGTTTCGTTTCAATGAGATACTTTCGAAAATTTGATAAGAGCGTACATGCGTACAAAACAGAAACTTCAACAATGTCCATGATTGTTTAGCAAATTTTCATCGGTCATTGGTAACGCATTTATATTTAACCCTTGAACATCGTCAGTAAGGCGATTAAAAGAGCAGCAATGAAGTGCCGCAAAAATTAAGACGGAAAAGTGCCCCGACTGCAAAAAAAGCGATCCGATAGAAGAAAAAAGTACTTCTTCTGCCGTTTTCATACTGCACCTTCTCAACTACATTTTTTTCCAGTTTCGCTTGCCAGACACTTCTGGGCTGAAAAATATACCCACTTTTTGCAAGCAGTTATCTCTTACGCGTAAAAACATTAAACGGTTTTTCTTTGGCAAAAAAAGCTCCTTTCAGCACTCACTAGGCTGTGGTCTAAATTCGTATAAAATATTTGATTTCTGGTCCAGCGACGTTTGCATCTGAAAATATGTTCAAATGCCGTTTTTCAGAATTCGAGATCAACTCTCCGTTCCTAACAAGACAGGAAATTGAATATGAAATCTCGATAGCACACATTTTTCTGTTTACCAATTGTTATTTATCAAACGCTCAAGTTTCAAAAAAAAGTTTTAGGAGACAGAAATAAAACAGAAATCATAAATTATCAAGAAAATAAGGAGAATTTAAGTTCTAAAAACTTTTAAACGAGTATCACATCCATAAGCCTGATACCAAAATAAATTTCGTATAGTTCAAAATGTACAAATGAAGTGAAACCTTATTTAAATATCAGTAATTCCTAACTACTCCGTACAATTTTCTAAGTCAAGTATCTAATTAATTTTTCTGTCATTGCCTACCGACCAAACTGAATCTAGAATAAATAAATCTTCATCTACAACAGCAAGTTTATTCCACAAAAATGAGAAACAACAGTAAGAATATACATAGATATTTCCTACAGCAACGAACAATTTCCTACAATTTTTATGCCAGCCAATCAACCGTTTATAAAGTTATTGTTTTATAGCTGTTACTTAAGCCAAGGAAACTTTTTCTAATTATTCACTGATTTATTTTTCTTTCAAATTTACAATTTTGTAAATACTGTGAAGCCAATAAAAAAAAGTTTTTGTTCTAAAACTGCTCCAAATTAATTGTATTTTCTCCAATTAATAATAGCATCACAGTGATGAAACTAAACATTTAAAAAATCCGGATAGTCTAAACTATAGGTAACAATTATTTAGGAAGAAGTAATCAAGCCAAAAAAAAAGCAAACGTAAACGTAAAAGTGGTGAAAAGCTAAAGAAATACAGAAGATACAAGTTTGAAAATATAGAACTGTGACATTACAGGAAATCAGCCATTTACTGTTGTTGTCTGTTCGTTGAAAAGGCAAAATTATTGCCACCGAGGAATCAGACGTGCTACTGAATAATTTTCACAAATTTTTACTTCAGAAACCACTACGACTATGTGCATGTGTAAAGTATACATAAAACTAAAAATATTTAAACTATCATCTCCAAAAAAAATTCAACTTAAAAACTCACAACTGTTTGGCAAAATAACAATTGCCAAGAAATTCCAGTGAAACGTCAGTGTACAACAAATAACAGCGCTAAATCGCGAATTAAAACTATTATTACGCCATACACTAACCCATTAATATTCATTATTTGTTTTGTTTGACGCCAGTAGCTTATCTTGCTGAATCTCGTTTGCTGCCAGTGCAGACTAATTTATGGTTAAAAGTTGGTTGCTAAAAACCACAGAAAGACGGCCTATACTGTTTTTTTTTCTTATATTTTCA